ATGTGTTTCTGTGCTTGTGTCTGTCTATCCCATGATTCACTGTTGTCCTGTCCAGGGAGAATCCAGCTTTGTGACTGTCAGGATATGCCTCCCCTGCGACCCTGAATTGGAATTGCTGGTTGGAAAATGGATGGATGGAGTTTACACTTGTGTCTTTTGATTCATGTTTAATTTTTGCTTCTTAAAAGAGTCCACTGGGTTGAGCCTTAAAGGATTTTTAAAATATGAATTGGGTCTTCTAGGTAGTTTTTTTTTGTTCCAAACTAAAAATGTTCTTATAGCCTTTCAGGGACAACAATTCTTCAGGGACATTTCTTTAAGCTGCATAATGTATCTGGTTGGATTTCTCAAGACTGATTGCAATTCCACAGCAGCAATATCTTTGGTATTATTATTACCATGTTTCTTTAATAAAATATGAGGATTTTTAATAAAGCTGAAGCTTCTTTTATGTGTGTATTACGGGATACTCACAGCATGTCTTTGCCTTAACATAGTCATTTTGGTATATATGCTAGAAACCTCTTACCATATACCATTTTACTTCATGTGCAGATGATCTACAATGCTGCATATTTTTACACTTTTGGCTGACACCTTCAAATAATATAAAATAGCCTACATTTAATACTGTAACTGTAGTTATTAGAAAGTTGTAAACTAAATTTGTAAACTACCATTATAATGTCCTTCACACCTGATGAGGATACAGTATTAATATTGTATAATAAAGATCTCATGGCCCTGAAGAAAGAAAATAAAAACTTGACTGAGTTTAGTTTGTCTCAGAAAGTTGTCTTGCCTGTAAATCACAGATGCCCTGTTTGGTTGCTAACATGCCAGAAGTTTTTTTTTAAGACAAATATAATTCCCATGGCAACTTTCCCCATTGAAGCTCTTCCTCAAGCCTATTCCCAAAGCATCATGCTACTGCTCCAGTGTGTTCCCAAGATGCTAAGCAAGGATAGCCAATTAAATGTTTGTTTTAAGTGTTTTTAGGTTGCCTGAGGCTTGTGACCAAGGAAACTCTGGAGCTCTGCATTAAGATAATTTGTATTGCATAGCCCAATAAAAATGGACTTTAAGTAATTATGATAATCATTTTCTCTTTTATTTAAAACCATCTGCAAATTTATCTTGAGAGTAATATATAAAAATTGAAAAAAGTTATCAAATTATTAAATGTTAATAATCAAATAAAAAATGTTATCAAATTAAATATCTTAAAATGTTATCAAATTTTAAGTTATCTGAATCCATTCATTTTCTAACCACTTAATCCAGTACAGGGTCACAGGGGAGTCGAAGAGTATTCTGGCACACAACAGCCACAAGGCTGGGCACACCTGAGCCAGTCTATCACAGGGCACAAACAAATTCACACCAGGGCCAATTTGTCCAGAAGCCAATTAACCTAGCAGTATGTTTTTGGACTGTGGGAGAAAAATGGGGACTCAGAGGAAACACACACACACATGCATAGGGAGAACATACAAACTACAGTAAATGCTGAAAGCATTTTCATTTCAATTTAATCAATTTTATTGAGCAAAACAGTATTCACCTGCAATGTTTGCAAAACCAGACCACATACCACTTCCAAATCAGCACAAAAAACGAGAAAAAAAACATTATGCACAAACTACACAGTGTGCTGTTTTCTGTCATGTTTTCTGTAAAACACATTAAATTTAATTTAACTAATTTTATTTTTTTTAATAATTTCCTTTGTAGCTCCTGGGCAGTTTCAGCAAATGCAAAATAAGTATTTTGGTTATTATTTTTGTATCTGTGAAACTGATTTAGTATACCTTAGATGGATATTTTTTCTCTGCTTCACTTTGTAATACAAAACATGTAAAAATATCACAACAGAGCCACCTAGTGGTTTTTGAGAGAAAAGGCGAGACAGGAACACCCTAGTAATGAGAAGCTGCTGTCTACACAGAAATAATAATTTAAACAATGCAATGACTTTTAATCGTCATTAACCTTCCTATAATGTTGTGATTTTCATCCCATGTTTGTGTCTACCTGTACAGAGCTTTTTATTACATTATATTACAATTCTTTTAATTAGAAAATAATTTCTTTGTTTCATAATAAGAAAACTATTTACCACTTTACACAAAAACTTCAAAGCTAAAAAATAAAATAAAATCAGCCAAGAGCCAATAGATTTAAAATACATAAATTTTAATTTGCACATCATTAGTAAGTAGCACAAGCACTTCAATTCATTCATCCATTTCGTAACCACTCCTTCCAGTCCAGGGTTGCCAGAGCCTATCCCAGTAAGCAAAGGCAGGATAAACCCCAGATAGATCGCCAGTCCCTCACAGGCAACACACAGACGCAAACATACTCACACCAGGTCCAGTATTCTCAGAAGCCAATTAACCAAGCAGTATGTCACGGACGTCCAAAGGGACTAACCGTGGGGAGCCGGAGAGCGGAAAAAGACCCATATGCGTAGCGGCGAGACGGGAAAAAGGCCCGGGCTCATTAGTGCAAAGAGTTCAGGAATGCCGTATAGAAACCTATGCCCTCAGGGAGCGGACGTGGGGCGCCCTGGTGCTAGGCGGGTCTCAGGACATCCGAACGTCAATGCTGAGCGAGGACAGAGTGCAAGACCCGGAAATATATAGCCCAAGGGAAAGAGAGGGACAGGAAGGACAGAAGACCGGAAACTAGGGACAGGACAGAGAAGGAGCGCCCTCTGGCTGCAGAGGGCGTGACACAGTAGCTCTTTGGAGGAAACCAGAGGATCCGATGAAACCCACACAAACGCAGAGAACATACAGACTTTACACAGATAGCCTTCCAGGAACAAAACCACAGCCCCAGCACTGCGAGACAGCAGTGCTAATCACTGCATTATCATGTCACCAAGCCCTTAAATAATGTTAAAAATCCTATAACACATACAAAATAAGAGAGTACATCATTATAAAACAATTGTTTTCTGGATATTTAAATCTTAAAAATGAGGAGCAGAAATGCTTTGGAAATGGTGTAAAACCAAACTGCCTATGATTTTAGACAAGACAGATGAGATTTTATGTCCCCGGAGGGAAATTTTTTATGGGGACACAGAACTCTGTTACATTTAAATTGAATGCAAACAAAAAAAATAGGAAAAGAAAAACATTGCACATTATTCAATTATAAAACATAAGAAAAACTTTGCACATCACTCTATTGCACATGTACAGTATAACACATAACAACATGTAACATTTAGAACACATATTGCACTCAAGTGGGTTGTAAGAGTCAAAATTGTGTTTATCCTTGACATGTGCATTGACAGCTTTAATGGATAGTGGAACAGAGGAATGTTTGTATCTGTTTGACTTACATTTGGGAACCCTAAAACGTTTGCCAGAAGGAAGAAGTTGATATTCAGAGGTGATGATGTGGGAAGGATCTGATATAATTTTTCCTGCCTGTTTGACTATGGATTTTTCAAAGATTGTCTGCAGGGAGGGATTCTATTTCACTCCCATGACCTTCAAATCTGTCTGGATGAGGCGGGTAATTTGCCATTTTAAATGAACTGATAGATTACCAAACCACACTGTAATACCATATCTGATAACTACAGCATGGTAAAAGAGTAGCATTACTGTCACGGATGTCGGAAGGGACAAACCGTGGAGAGGCAGGAGAGTGGAAAAGACCCATATGCGTAGCGGCGGAAAGGGGGATTAGCCTGGGCTCAGCAATTCAGGAGTCGTATAGAAACCAATGCCCACAGGCAGCGGACGTGGGGCGACCTGGATGCTAGGTGGGTCGCAGGACATCTGAACGTCAATGCTGAGCGAAGGTGAATCAGTGACCGGGAAATATATAGCCCCAGAGAGAGACACACCAGAAGGACAGCAAGGTACAGGAAACTAGGGACAGGACAGAGTAGGAGCTGCCTCTGGCTGCAGAGGGTGTGACAATTACTTCCTGTCGAATGCTAAACACTCTTCGTCTTTGCAGGAAATAGAAGTGCTGATGAACTTTTGAGCAAACACTCTCAAGATGAGTAGTCCAGCACAGGTTACTGTCTATGTGTACACCTACAGTAAATACAGTATATGAATCAACCTGAGTGATAAGTTCGTTGTGGATTACTACATGTGTGTGATCACCACACTGTAAGAGTCTATTGCATCTAAACATGGCATGTTGCTCCACAGACAGTAGATCCATAAATTCTGAGACACAATTGAAAGAAACATTTTAAAAGGACTTCAGTCATGGTTTCCCTAAATACCTCTTTACTTCTTTATCATTATTTTAAGAAGAATCTTAGAGCTAAGTGCAAGACTGTCATGTCTACTGAATTCTCTGTTTACATTATCACTAAACCATGTTCATGTTTTTTTTTTCTACAGAGATGGCAGAAATCTGGCTCACACATTGAACATTTGGTTTCTCACTTCTGCTTGGATAGTGAGATGGCCCTGGATGAATCTGAGAGCAACAAGATGCTTGTAATAAACCCATGTGAGCTGACAGCTTTCACCCAAAGATGGGAAATGGCATTTTCCTGATTCTGGAAGATGGATCGCAATGATCACACCCCAGAGGTGCTAAGGGACTGACAGCATCTTATCTGTTTCAGAATATTGTTGGCAGAGCCTACAAGAAAGTAGACACCAATGATGATGGATACAACGACTTTGTTTCTTCTTGGTTGTCAGTTTGTAGAGTTCACCTATACCTGATTTAAGGGTGAATTTTTTAGGTCTCTGGCTATTGCTAAGCACGCTTCAAAATAGGTTACTGGAATTCTAGTCTGATGTCATGTGGCTAGATTCTGTAGCAAGACCCACTGAAAACTGACAGAAGAACAATGGGGAATTTTCAGTGATTACTCTTCAGTTTTCAATTCTTATTGTTGGATGATTAGCCTCCACTGGATGCCAATTTGTATAATGTCTGGGCTACTGGATTTTAAGAAAATAATGGATACTAAACATGATCAAAAGCATGCCCAACCTTCTTCCTGACTGTGGATTGGGACACCATGTGATACAGTATGTCAAAAAACCTGGGAGGGAGCCTTAATTTACTCATGTAAAATTAAATGGATATATAGTTTAAAAATCTTCTCTTGGATCTAGGTGCTACAGTATCTGTAATTTTGGAGTAGCTAGTAACTTCAACAAAAGAAAAAATATTTCCATCCAAAGGGCTGCCACTGCAAAAATATCAAGATCACTCTTTTGTTTTAGAAAAGGAATACACTTTCCTTGCAACAGGGAACATTTCTTTCATTGGAAATGGGGAATAGAACACGTATTGGAAATGATGGTTACTGTGCTTATATTTTGAGGCAGAAACAGTATTGTTGTGTATTGGTCAGTCACTTCAAATGTTCTGATGTTTTTTCATTCTGAAATTGGGTTATTCCAGTGCTCTTTGTGTTTTTTGGAAAGTTCTTGGGTAATGTGACACAAAAGAAAAAGTTTGAAATTTTTTCTCTCCTCGCTTGTCTATCAGCCAGTTGCCATGACTACACGGCTGGAAGTCTGCTCCACTTGTGCCCAATTTAGAACCACACCTGACTTAAGAGGAACAGACTATTTAAGATCTGCCTTGGCAGGGCTCTGTGCTCTGTTATAGAATTTTGATCTGAGCCTAAGCTTCGTTCCCCTCTTTTTTCATATTCCTTGCTTTGTGTTTTGTCCTGGATTCTCAACCCTTACTTTGCTCTGACGTCCCTTTTGAGGTTTTGAAGTGTGATAATCAGTAGAAACTTGGCTGTGTTCTTGACGACGACTCTGGACTGTGTTTTCGTGATTGTTATTACTGCACCAGCCTGTTTATCATGCCTGCTTGTGCCTTCTCACTTGCCTACCTTCAGGTACTTCATGCAACTCAGAGAGGCTCTTTAACCCCAGTATAAAATGCACATTACATACATAACATGACACATATTACCACATGACCATGACACATATATTACCGCACATACAGTAATATACTCTTTGTTTCTTACATGGAAATCCCATTTCATTAATTTCATACAGCATGTCCCCGGGAAAAAATGTTCTTTGCATGTTGGACCAAAATCCTTTTCATAGAGCACATCAGCGTTCCAACACATGCAGGATTCATTCATGTGAAGCAGGATTCATCAATCCACTTAATGTTTTAAATCATTTCCAATGGCAAATAATTTCCAATGGCCTAGTAAACACCTAGGCCACTGTTTAGTCTCACTTGTTTAAAATTAAATGATCTGTGATTTGTATGTAAAAATACAGATTGTTCAGAGCATGGTTTCCTTTGCATTATCTGTGTGCTTACCCAAATTATATGATGGTTGTTGACCTCCATTGTGATGTGTTAATAGTGGTATTTGTGTGGTCTTTCTGCCTCACTTTTAGTTATCTTCTAGCCTTAACTTTCAATCTTTTTACCTTTCTGTTTTTCTGTCAATGCAACTATTTTCTTCCATTACCTAAGTTGTTCTGTACACATTTACTTCTGTACATATTCTTACCACTCACATGTTTGTATTCAACAAACAAGCCTGTCAGAGCTTTTCCTGAAGATACCCTTATGGCAGCTCGCTGGCAACTGTAAAATCTTATAATTTTCCCATTGCATTACACTTTTGGTAACAATTGCCATACCACTCTAATACCAATACCTAAAGATACCCAACCAGTGACTAAGAATCAAATATTTGATTTTTTAAATTAATATTGCAATACAGCTGCTATTAGAAAAAAGGTATGAGCTGCAATGGTTGAGCATTCTATGATTTAAAAGTGGTTTCAAAGAATATGGCGTAATATGATGAAATACTGAAAGCAAGGTGTGTGGGGTCTGGAATATCATTAGTCCCTTTATTTCACAACAAAATTGTGTATAGAATTACCTATGGGTGGAGTTTGTGTAACTTTTACTACAAATGCAGTATCTGGCGTGTATTAATTTTTAAATTTGGCACTTCCAAAACTATATTGCCAAAAAATTCCACGGCATTGGATTTAGCACTCCGGGCTCACAGAGCTTGTGTCCTGGGTTCAATTTCAGTCTGCCTGGGTGGAGCTTATAGGATTTCATGACTGAGTGTGGCCTTTTGCTTGGTGTAGATTCCTCCCAAAGACATACATGTTACATTTTGAATGGCTCTGTAGATCTGCCCTTTTCTGGAGGGATGGGTTACAGGGGGATTTTAACCAGTATGGGGTCTGATAGCCAGATGCTTTTCTACATTGTATATTTTGCATCTTCTGTGGTAAGAAACCAGATTTTTTAAAGTATTCACAGGACTCCAATACATTGGATCAGTAAGAAGAAGAAAATAAGTAGCATACAGTTATTTCTACTTGAGATTGCTGAATTCTCACAGCTAGACATAGGACTGGGCCACATGGCACGGATAAATCCAGTATTTTCCTTTCTTTCTTCCTAGAAAAAGAAATATTTACACTTATTGTTCTTGTTGTTTATCAATTCTTTGATACCCAGATTTCTGCGTAAATATAAGGGGGGAAATATTGTTTTAAAATATTTTATTAAACTATTCTAGGACCTATTAAATCAAATTACGTACCCCATGTAACCTATAAAATAATATCACCAAGAAAAGGAAAGACAATCCTTATTTTTTTTTGCAATGTGAGATGCTGCTTTATAATGATCTGTCTTGATCATTGAAATGCATGTATAAGAATACTTTGCAGTAAAGTAAGACATACAGTAATTTATATAATAGGTTATGATTTTGTGCTTACCCCAGGAGCCAGAATGTATGTATGCTGAGGGACTTCTTTCACTACATTTTGGTAATAATCAATGAACTTTTGGTTCCACGACTCTGAATTAAGTTTGGCAATACCATTCCTGCAAAACAGAATCAGTAACTGAACAAGAAACAGATAGGCCACTAATATTTTGATAGTAACGACAGTATACAGTACAGTATGTCTGTTAAAGAGATAAAAATGGGCATAGCAGTACTGATTAACATTAATACTGTATCTTCTTCAATCTATCTGTTTTATGTCTTTACCTTGGGTTTAGATACTAAACTCAAGAAAGTTCCCTTTCCTGCTCACTTATTATTCAAGCTGAAGCTGAACACTTCACGGTGAGTGTGTATCAAAAGCAAGGATATTTCCTTCCAATCACTACAAGCTATCTCCCTCGTCAGAAATCTAACTCTGAACACCTAACTGTTGATCTTTCTTCAGAGTTCAGCTGGAAATTTCAATGTAAGTGTTAGGATTTCTTATGTTTAAAGTTCTTCAGTATTGAGATGTTGTATTTTGTCCGTAACATAAAATAACTAATTTGTTTCCTGCAATCTCTACAATACAATTCAACAACAACAACACATAAGAACATGTTTCCAGGTACTCTTCCCTCTGTTTTATCACTTGCTGTTCATTGCGTCCAGTGGCCATTCTCCTTAACTGGCAAGGAGTAACTTTACCCAGAATGATTTTACAATTAACATTTATCATGAAAACATAACAAAGCCCTTTTCTCTTCACCTGGTGCGCCTGTGTTTTTATCGTCTGCTACCGTGTCTCAAATGGAATGTATAGAGGAAGAGAGCACACTACTTATGAAGTCAATCATTTTTACAAATTAAACTCCTACTTACAACTTGCTAGGCACTATTTTGTGAACCTACTATAAGTGCCCCTCTAATTCAGCAAGGTGGAAGTGTTTTTTCTAAATCAAATAACTGGTGAATTAATTTCTATGTACACTGTAAAAATGGACAATTTGAAGGTTTGTAATACACTGTACATTGTCTTCAAAATGAGAAAAGCAGGAATACAGTGTTAAAATTAGCCTACTGTATGCTGGAAGAACCAAGGGAAGACAGCAGTGCTTCTTGACTGGGTGCGCTCAAACACTTGGAAATCTTCATCATGGGGTAATAATACAGGAAAGCCAAGCACATCTCATCTGTAGCGGCAAGTCCATTCTAACACATTAAAAAAGAAAATTCCCCCAACCACACAAGAGAAAAATAAAATAACCTATTAAGGAATTCTGTAAAACAAGTATTTATTGGATAATTTGGGAATTTCACATACTGTACTGTACATTCTCTTTTGGAAGTGTGCTTTACAGTACATCAGTGAAAATAAATTATTGCAGAAGAAAGAATAAGCAGGAAAATATTTATGGTATACTACAATAAGACATCTATGCTAAGGTATCTGTAATCCAAAAACACAGGTAAAGCGTAAATGTATTTCAATATATAAAATCAATAAAATGAACATACATCAAGAAGTATATACTAACTGAAGTCCAAATGATGGTCACTGACATAAACAACCATATGGCATATTCTGGGAGAAATATCTGAAAGCACCATTGTTTTGATTCCTGATGCTTGCATTGCAATTCAGTATCTCCAGTATAAATTCTGGTTCCTGGTATAAATCAAGCTGAAGAACACTAGTCTAGGGTACAATAGGAATGTTCTGTTTTGCTATTAGATTTGAAGATGGAAAGTGTAAAAATGTGAGTGCTCACCAAGGTGGTTGTACTGCGATCCTCAGTATTGTACGTACATTCCACTAAAATTTCATCACCCTGGAACACAGAAAATACTCAATTTCTGTCATTTAGGTTTACAGTTTTTTATGTTTGTTGATTTGTTTTTGAATGAATATACAATATGTGCAACTTTCAAAATGAGTTGAAATTATCCTTATGGACCCAAAGAGATGAACATTTCTTTGTATTTTCTTTCCAGGCTACTTTATAACTTTTTTTTTAAACCCAGCATTAAAAACACTGTGACAACAATTTTAACTCTTCTTTTTGTTGTTGTCCATGTTTATAATGTTCACACTCATACAATTGTAGAAAAAATATTTCATAGCCATAATGATTTAATTAAATTCACATTCCCTCAAATTGTATTTTATTCAACCTGACTAAACCATGTTTTAATAACTGACATCTCATTGACACTATCAAAAATACCAGGAGACACAGTTATAAAGTGAATCAGATTACATTTACTGTAGGCAGGATATGTTGTCACGTATATACTGGACTACAGTATAAAGTTTGGGCATTGATTTTAAATCTTGACTTCAGAGTCATCCATTCACTTGGTGTTGATTAATGTTACTTTTTTTTAAATTCCACATTTTAATTTCTCATGCTTATGATGTCTGCTTTGTTTTAGATAAATCAGTACAGCACTGTTATTATTTTTTAGGATTACAGGCTAGTGCTGACTAAGAGGAGACATGCAGGATAGATTATTATATTATATTTAATATTAGATTATATATATTGTATTTATCAGACCTGAATCACCAGAGATGCCTGTGGTGTGCACTGTAGTACTGTAGTGCTACTCAGGCCTCATGCTGGAAACACAAGCTCAGCCTGAGACTTGCTTCTCATTCCTTACCAGCTTGACTGGCACAACTCTTCCAAACTGCTGTACTCTTTGGAAGTTCTGGTCGTAGTTGTTATCTATACTCAAGAAACCAATTTGTTCCCCATTCCTACAAAATTGTGAGAAAAAAAAAATTAATAAGAACCAATTTAAAGAGATTAAGGGCTTTTCAATATTTTTGAATAATGGATATTTTCTGACAAGGGGTGACGAAATTGGCAAATGATGGATTGGGCCATTGAGTTAGCATATGTTTATATTTTGCATTTACAGTGAATACAAGAGCAGAGAGTACCTCATGTGAAGTTACTGTGAAGAAAGAGAATAATAGAGCAACCCCACCATCGCTTCTTTTATTAGTATTTTTTCCAAACCCATCTGATTCAGCTAATATTTTCTAATTGAATACCTCTTTGCCAAAACGTTACTGTGAATTCTGTAAATAAATACTCCACTTTTGGTTAAAAATTCATTGTCTGCCCTGTCTGCTTTGACCTCCACACCACTGAGGTTACCAATACATTTTCTGTATTGGTGCAGATAATGTAAAACCCAAAGCCTTAGACATCACACTCCTTTCTTTGGAAAATCTATTGAAGGCAGTATTACATTTTTGTAGATTACTGCCATATAAATACTTTCACTTAGATTTTCTCTTCTGTTGAATGGAATAAAATATTTGCTCAATAATAAAATAGTCTGTTTTTGATTTTAAATTACTGTCTCATCAATACTTTTGGTTTGCTTAATATTTTTAACAGTGAATATTTCCTTCACCCCACTTATACTAATTGAGCCTGAATCGAGTCCGTCGAATCCGTCATGTGTTATTTAGCATAACTGAAAATGCTTTATTAAAAGGTAAAGAGTTCTTTTTTAGAAATAAATGAATACTAATTTCTCCAAATGAATGTCCCAGAAGATGAAACAACTGATTAAAATAATGGGAACCTCTGCCAACAAGAAAAATGCAGGAGACATTAAAGGAGGGGGCATTTTATTCTCCAGGAGCACTTCACAGAAATAAAAGCTTTCAGACCTGAAATGTCCAACTGTCACTTTCCGGCCTGCCCCATGAGTGTGCAGCAAAATGCCAAAAACGTTAAGATCCAGGACAGGGCCTGGGATCACCTGTAAACATATGACACAGTGCTGTTAGAGGATTGACATCGGTGGAGAAAATTGCTGCAAAAAAAAACTTGTTTTCATGACATGCAGTGCCTGTATGCATCTCTAACCAAGAAGAAGATTGCTGGGACTTGATCAAGGCCTTCACAAACACAGAAGAGCACATCCACATCCTAAAGGTATAGCAGCATTATTACTGTACCTTCTATGCTGATTTTGTCAGATAATTTAAATAATTATTTTTTTAAATATTAATTAATAACAGGTGATATCCAATGTATTTTCCAAGACAACTTGTTCCCGCATCTTTTCAGTTTAGGTAAATTGACATGCTACAGTAGGTCAGTTTTCTCATTGATTTGTCAAACACCCTAATGTTGCCTTTTAATGAGTGCAATATCTCTTTGAAGACAGACTTATCCATACCAGAGCCATATCATATCAAGTGCTCAGCTCGAACCAGCTGCTTAAGATGCAGGATAAACACAAGCATACTCAAGTAGACAAGTCCTCCACTAAAGTCACTCCACCATGTACATGCGGACAAAATTACCACTTTACACCTCATTTGAACAAAATGATAAAATAAGTACTTTTCACACCACACAGTGTATACATCTCTAATGAAAAAGACAAGAGATGCATACATCTCTTGACTAGTGAAAACAAAAATGATGCAAACATTCTTTCCATTGCAAACAATATTACAAGCAAAATAAAAACAGACCTCCCAACATGAAATTGTTTTTGTTGAGAATTTCAAAATGCTAAACATTGTTGCTTTCATCATGTGCCTACTACCAGTTAAAGATCGATACATAGTGGAACAAGTTGAAAACATCAAAAAGCAGAAATAAGACCATGCATGCTGTAGGAAACAAGCGAGTGTGCCCACAGACACGGTGATTAGCCAATATGAGTACAGTAGATATTCCATAACATTTTACATAAAGCATGACCTCAGCTCATGTGTATATACAGTACAGTACAGTACCTCTTCTTAAGGCCACAAAACTGGACTTCTGGTGCTCGTGCTGGACAGAAACTAATTCTATGCAGATGTACACAGAATGTTTCTGAAAATTATTATCGTTGGCCTTGAGGTTCTAAATACATATATGAATTATAATAAGGACAATAAAGGACAATAAAGCTTGAATCAAATCAATAGGAAGAACAAGAAATCAATAACTCACTGAGACAGTGAAGAAGTTGTTTCTGTGAGAAATACAGATCTTTAAATGTTTATACAGATTTAAAAAAAATCTTAAAAAATAATCTGCCATCCCACACACATTGTAGAAAACCTTACTCTGGAGAATTCTGATGTGTTGCACAGGCCATAGCTCTTAAATGAAGGAGTTTTAGGGGGGATCAGGTAGGTTATGTAGAATGGAGCTGTTAGCACCCCAGTTTCAATAACACCCATATCGAACTGGCGCAGCTCAGATGTGTAGTACAGACGCAGACCTGAGTTGTCCATTCGACCTGAAAGCAGGAAAAACTACATATTATCACAGAATGACACAAGCTTATCATTATGCAGTCACTGTTATCTTAACAATTTATAAAAACAGTGACTGCATAATAGTGTCCTCATCTCCATTTGTAGATGTTTAATTGAAGGATGAAGCAGAAATGGAATCTCTAGAATCTTTTTCAGTGCAGGAAACAACAAGCTCCATCTTGTTGCTTGTTTGCACTCAGCTTCAGTTTTACAGTGAAGATGTGATAGAGTGACTCTACTGTTGCATACTAACTTGTTTCTGGTATTACCTGGCTTCTGTGCCTCATTGTTATAGTGTATTTCCAGTCTGTAATAAGATGGATACTTGTTTGTTCCAATAGGTATCCCAACATCTGGTGGGAGAATGAAAGCCTGGAAGACAGGTAGAAAAAGGGGAAAGAGGCTGGCCATCATTTCAAAACAACGAGAAGCAGTGATTGAGCTTGTTACACAGATATCACACTGTTTTCCCCAGTCACCTGACAGAAAACCTAATGGAACTATTTTATTTTGCATGTGTGCATCATTTCCATTTTTGATTTGTGTGTTTTATTTTACTCTCCTTTTTAAAGGCCACACTGTATCCAAGATGAACAACACTTGCATACAGTATATGTGATGGTTAAACTACCCCTTTATGGCTTCTACTGCAAAGCACTTTTTTTCCTGTGCAGCACAATGAGTTGTTACACTTTAAATGTCAGTCTGAAGCAGTGATATGAAACCCTCTGGTATCCATTCAGTCTAAGCCCTGAATAATTTATTTGATTCCATCTCGGTCTCAGTCCCGGCTGTTTCCATCTCTTTAAGTTATAACCTCTGAAACTCACAGGTGAAGGTTCTCACCTTTCCTCCCTTCCCCCAGCCTGCCACCCCCTGCAAACAAGGGAAGATCTTCCCGATGTTTTCCTTAAAGTAGCAGGCGCCTCCCCACTCCTCCTGGACTGAGCTGGGACAAACATACACCAGCATGTGGTGGGAAAGGTCAGCATTGTGGAGCAAAGGTTCAACCTGAAACACAAAGGCCACCACAGTCAGGAGGTCAGAAGAAGAGACGCCCTTCCTCTAATCACAAGACATCCACAGTGCCTGTAGCATGAATCCTCAAACTTTATGATACTGTGTCAAATCAGCCCGAACCCATATAAGCAGAGAAGACATCAACAGAGATTAGGCAGGAGGCAGGTTTGCAGCTTTACAGAGAGGATGCCTTAATGCCCTTTTTAATTCCAAAGGAGAGATAGGAAGAGAGAGACTGCAGGTTGAAAGAAAGGGGGAGCACACTTTCCCATAATTTGCCATGTGTTGCAAGGAGAGCGAGCACTAAGAAGGTCCCCTACATGGGGTACAGTGGGGGAGGAGGAAACTGTGGATTAATGTCATGGGGCAACAGCACATTCCATAACTCCGACTGAACTCAGACTTCACACAGATTAGATTAGTTATAAAAACATATACTGTAAAAGCATTTCCCAGAGGTCTAAGAGTTTTATTTGTTTTTCGGTAACCCTATAGAAACCCCCTTTTAATTTTATGTATACATTTAAAACATTAGAGGACTTTATTGTTTAATTTTATTTTAATATATACAGTATTATAAATCTTTTTAAATTATTCATATTTTTAAGTACACTGTAGACTTTATCGGGAAACAGTTGTTGCACAGAGAGGGACAGACTCAGTGATATGTAATCTATAATGCAAATTATATGTTTTTTAGAATGCAGAGTTTTTAAGAAAATGTGTAGATTAATGAATGTCAAAACATCAGAATCTCTTACTCTGTAAATGTGGTGTTTCTGTCCAAGGTTGGGACCCTTAATAATCCGGCAATATACAAATGTCTTATCTTCCGGGACATCAAACTGGAAAAAGATACAGTAATCACTGGGTGAATGTGCAAAGCTAATTGTACCCTATACATGAATATTTCTACTTTTCTTTGCACATTCTGTCTCAGGTTTCATATACTCAAAGTTCCAAACATTTGAAAGCCTTTATTATTATAACTTCTAATTTATCGATATATTGTACTGTATTGCAGTTTTTATCAGGGAAATAAACCACAGACACCGTCTTCAAAGGAAATCATGTAACTGCATCATAAAAAAAAACAGATTATCTGTCCAAAACCAGCATTGGACACCCCTGCCATGGAGAAGACAGACACACACTCTAATAGATGAGCATTTACATGTTTAATCTAAATTAACATGACAAACAGTAAACTGTTTAATCTGGAAAGAGTTCAAATCATTACGATTGTCAAATTTTGGTAGTATTTTTTAGTATTTACATTGCCAGCAGTCAGGTCAAAATACATGGGATTTGGAGGATAAAATGGATTTGAGTGTTTAAGAAGGTTGACCTCTTTCCCTCCTCTTTGACCTCTGTGATGTTCAATGTCATCCTTCGATCCATAGGCATAAATGAGGTGTACAGGAGATTCCTGAGGGGAGGAGCAGAAATAAATAACAAAACACTGTAAATAACTGTATAAAAATAAACTGTATACTATAAATAAAAAATGAATCACACAAATAAATGCAACCTCCTTGAATGAGAGTGTAAGTCTCTGATCAATTACATCAGAATGAAACCATCAATGCATGCTTTTTTTTGCTGATGAATAGTGTTTTAAGTTCACCACAGTGCTTCCCCTTTGTTATCTCTGCGTGAATCAGCCTAAACTCACAGTGATAACAAAGTCCTTCCTGTCACAGGTCTGAAGGTTTCTTCGAAACATCATGACAGTTTTTGTGCCAGTCTCCCTCAGAGACAGCAGGGTGTAATCCTGTTGTGGATCCAGTGCAGGCACCAAAGTGCCATCTGCGTGTCTGTCCTGCAAAGAAAATTCATCATGAATGTTTACTGCACAATTAAAGTGAGTGGAATAAATGTCACCATTTAGTTCTTGCCATGGATTGAACATTTTAGCAATATTAAAATCAGTAGTGATTTGACTAAGTTCTAGTATCAACTTGATCTCAATGCTCAGTAACTAATTTCAGCATTTTCGGTATAATACTTGGTTAAAAGTATAAGTTGTTGTTTTTGTTTAAATTTACTTTTGCCCACAGACAAACTACATCTCTAACAGGCGATTGTTTCTGAAAGTGGGGAACATCATGTTGTTCAGCAAGTGGATGTGTCCCATAGTCTGGTCTCTCCATGTGTTTGAAGCAAAAAACAAATTAATAGTACTGTCTATTTAGTACATTCAGCATGGCAGAAAGGAGAATGGAGTCACCAACCCTAAGAAAGAATGTCTGGCACCCTATGCAGAGGGAACAAAAGTAATTTTGTAATAGTAACCAACTGTGTTAGATTTGAACATTTGAAAGGCTTAATAGGTTCATTTATAATGCTAAAAGGCCTGATACCTCTTGGAGTGTGTTACATTTTATCATACTCATTTTATCACAGGTTCTGGTATAGTTCTGAAAGATGGAAGGATCTCTGCATACACAGCTAAGACACATTATTGTGAAGAACATATGTGTAGGAAAGGTGACAAATGAGAGGAAATCATTTGGCCTGTCTAGCCCATTTGATAGTTAATTATCCAAGGATCTCTTCCAATTGTTTCTTGATTGAAACCTGCGTATTGGCATCAATAGCATGACTCACAAGAACTACAGAACTGTGTCCCGCTCTTGGTTTCAAGAACACATTTCTCTGTAGTTTCCACTTGTGTCCTCTGGTTTGTGATTCACTGTTCATTCTGAAAAAGACTGCTGCCTTGATTTTGTCAGTGCTTTTGAGGATTTTGAATACTTGTATCAGGTCCCCTTGTAACCTTCTCTGTTCAAAACTAAAATGGTTTAATTCATTCAGCCTGTCAGTGTAGGAAATTCCCTAAATGCATCTGGTTGCTCTTCTCTGGACGGATTCCAGAACAGCAATAACTTTTCTATTATCTAAATTGTACACGATATTCTCAATGAGGCCTTACTAGCTTGTTACACAATTTCTTTTCTGTAAATAAATAAAAATTGTTTTCTGAAAAAACAAAAAAAATATTGCCCAGAAATCTGCCTCTTTTGTACTCATCCTTTGACAATGCATGAATGCGAGGAAGAGTTTGTAAGTTTGCATAAAATGCAAAAGTGTCAAAGAAGTTAGCTGGCTGCCATCACCCTGATAAATCCTGACGAGTAAGACAGAAAGCACTCTGGGACTGTTGCAGGATAGAATATTACAATGCAATGTTGCTAGGGTACTGGGAACTTACTCATCCTCAATCAAGCGCTGCCAACAACTGTCACTGTCCCAGAGATAGACCACTGTCTATAATAACCCCAGAATTAGGAAATCTGGAGTGAACACATTGAGAGTTTGCTTTTTACAAAGCAAACCCTACAGTTGCTGTAGTAGTTCAGGTGGGTAGCTGCGTCAGCATGTGTAGGCTGCAAAGGAACAAGTAATAGGTTGCTGGCAGAGTTATGGACTATGTAATAACAGCAATCTTGATACCACCATCTGGTAAATCTGAGCTGAACCTGTGCCTGATGCAGGTGTCTCTGTCTCCGCAATGACAAGTCAAGCCTGGCTGCAGATTGCACAGGGAAAGTTGGCCAAGGAAAGTGTTTTATGGATTGTTTTATCTAGCAATGAGGACAATGTGTACATGAGGTCTTTGGAGAGCAACATGCAGGACTGAGTTTGCAACCTCTGTCAGTACATTAAATGTTTCAAGATGCCTGTGGTCAATAAATTAACTGGAAGCTAATCTTCTTACACTTATATAAAATTGAACACATTTGTATACACAGTATGAGTTCACACTACATGGAAAATATTTATTATCAGATAAGCAATGAGGGAAACAAAGATTGCACTGATAAAATGTGGTTTCCTTTGCGTAAAAAAGACTGCTTAGGCTAAAACTTAGTGATATGCTTGAAAGGACATACTATGTATGCAAATACATTTCATATACTTGTTTTTGAATGACTACATGTAATGTAAAGAAAATAATAGTTGTTACTGTAACCAACACCAGATCAATCCATACTTCATCTAAAGGATTGATAAGCACACATAAAGAGCCATTCAAACAGAAAGCAGAAATGTGAAGCCCTTACATTCACCAGATATTGACATTAAATATGTCAATATATGGTTTACTTTTAGGGCGTCATGATATCTATGATCAGAGTATGAAATCCTTCAAAATACGCAAAAATTATTTATGTACATTGACTGGAATAAATAGGACAAATCTAAAAAGACCACTAAGTATAGTCTTGTAAATCATCACGTCACAATTTAAATGATACAGTTCATCTAACTGTGCAAGCTTATATTGTTTACATCAATTACTGACTTCACAGTCTACTTTAAAGAATCACCATAATGAACACTTATATTTACTCATATCAATGCTTAAGGACATACAAATCTTTGCTTACTGTGAAGTAAGTGCTTCCATTTGGATGGATTCCTCCAATAACTATGTCTGCTCCAGACATCCCGCCACTGGGACTGAAACCAAATCCCACCCAGCCCAAGGTGGGGAACGTCACCTCAAATGTAACAGGACTCCCTGGCTCATTAAACCCCCATCTCACGGTCACTTCCTGCTTTGCATCCAAGTGCTCTGAGAATTGTAGGCTGGTGTCCTCCAGGGGCTCCAAGTTCCCAAGGGTGCTGCAGAGAAAGAGCAGCAGCAGGCTGAGAGCTATCATTTCTGTCTCTTTGGGGTCCATCTGAAGAACTACAGCTGTTCCCTTGCTATATAAACCAAGACGACACTGCCCCTAATGGTTACAAGGGTTGTTTAGCCTACAGTACGTGACTGTTTTACTGTCAATAACGAAGAAAAAAATAATTCAACTGAAACTAATAAAAAAGACCATATTTGTGACGAGCTTTATTCATGATGCCATGATGATTATTATGAAGACAATGATGATGCAGGCTGTAGGTTCAAATCCCAGGTGGGACAGTGCTGTTGTAAACACCTGAGCAATGTACTTCATGCAGATCGCTCCAGTAAAATACCAAGTGGTACAAATGAGTACACATGCAAGTTGCTACAGATGACCTAAATTTGCTATAGCCAAATAATGTCTTAGTAATGTTATTAAACATTACCTTTAAGCCTTAGAACTGAGACAGGTTATTTATTCACTTGGGGAGAAAACACAGTGAGTAAAAACACAAGCTGTACAGGATATGGACTAGATCAAGGGTTAACAGTCCTGGTCCTGCAGAACTACACACCTGCTGGGTTTTGATGCAGCCCAGCACTCAGGTACAAAATCACAAACTTTTATGTAACAAAAAACTTGCAAATTTTCCAAAAACGTAATTTCTTACGTTTCTTAACGTTTTGTAATTTCTTAGGACTCAGGACTCAATTAAATGAATGAAATAACAGTTATTGGAATGAAAACTGACTTTAATAGTACTAGAAAAATACATGCTCATATTACTTCATGCTCATAAAAATGACATGTTTTTGATAGGTTTTTTATACTTCCTGAAAGCTGGGTTTTGAATTGAAAATTAGAACTGTTGAATTGAAAATTAGAATTCTCCATCAGAGGAGCAGGACAGTCTTGTGCAGAAACAGTTTGATTGAGCTCAATAAGGACAGCAACACCCGTTGGGTCTGTCCTGCAGAACAGACACACTGAAAGGGGTTTCCAACCCTTATACTGTATACAGTATGGGCTCAGTACAGTTTGTTAATGATATCTGTCCTATCCTTTAACATGTAGCATAAAGTCCTGCTTTGATATGCAGCAGACCTTGATCTGCTTTATCCTGCTTATGGTATGTTTATGGATGTTGGTATTGTCTTAGGTTGTGCAGCGTAAATCACTGGAGCTGCTAAAGCAAGTCAGCATTATTGTATCTTAGCATGCTCTTTGGTGAGGGCTAAATGAACAGATCCCAGCAATACCTTCCACAATATAGTTAAGTAGTAATACAGCACTGCTGGATCTGTGCAATATTTACATGCCCCACTTCAGAACAATAATTCTCATATTACTGACAATGGCAGAGACTCGTGCATCTGCTCTTTCCTCCTATCCTCCTAGTCCTCCTAGTTCTCCTATCATGAGTACTGCGGCAATTAGTTTTACTGTATATACAGAATGTAACAAAGAGAAGGCTATTGGCACTGAAATGCATTTTGCCTGTAGAGATGAACACAGAAGATTTGTATTGTTACCTTTCCTGCCCAGTGTTGAGATGAACATGTGATGGTAGCTTATGTAGACTTTACGATGCACTCTTTATTGATAATAAAAATGCACAGAGGGGAATACTTCAGTCTTTATTAAATAAGTAAAGATATCTGAAGAATCATGACTGAGCAAGCCTTACTTGATCACATTTGGATTGTTTAAGCAGTACTAATTTTTCCTACCCATGCTTTTTAGTGTCACATATTTTAAATAAAGCATTTATTTTAGCTTTAGTTTAAACCATGAAACAGGCTTCTACTGTATAAACTTCCAGAGATATTTCAAAATGTTTGAGTGAACATTATACCAGGTGGAAACCGACTTTTTTCCAGATGCAAAAAAGTGCTAAATAAATCAGATATAAAGCAATTAAACTATTAAACAATGCAGACACTACCATATTGAATTATTGTTCAGATAGATTTGTATTTGTAGAAAAGCAATGTTTGGTGTTGTTTAATATTTATTTGGAAAACATAAGATATAAACTAATACAAGTTTACAAATAATAAAATACAAATAAGACTTAAAGGTGAAGGACTATTAAAGTCTATGTATTTGTATTGTTAGAGCACAGATGGGATAAGTTTGTTTTCCCTATCCTACTAACTTAGTGCTTTTGTTGCCAAGTTAATCTAGAATTTCATTCAATCAGTCCTTGAAGGTCCTCAAAGACAGAACATGTCCCTTGGATTGACCCTATCTACAGTATACGCCCTAAAATTGTATACATTTGGATCAAATTTCCCCTCAATGCCATTTTTAGTAGATTAAACAAACGTCTCTCATCCCGCACATACTGTATATGACAATCCCTTGAGTCCATTAATCATTCTAGCCGCTTTTTCAAATATCGTCTTTTTCATGGTATGGCGAAAAAATGTGTACACTTTGTTCTAAATGAGGTCTTCCTATTACATTATAAATCCTAACCTTACTCCCTTTAGGTTTCACACTTTGAGGTACATACCCAAGTATTCTTTTTGTTCTTGTATTGCTTCTCCATATTGTGTTGATGTAGATATAGAAGACTCTCCATAAACACCCAGATTGCTATTTCGTGTGTGATTCACCCTTGTCATTAATGCATTTCTCTGCAGAATCATGACTGTTTTAATGCCACTTTAAGAAAATAGCTAATGTACCATTTATACCCGTGTATTCCATTTACCTCTAAGCAAACTGGGCTGTTAATTATTTCAATACATGCTGTTTTGCAAGGTGAACTAAAAGATAATTACAGCACCAGGCGTCAAGCCTTGTGAAAATCAAGAAACATTATGCTTTTGTGACATCTCATGTAGATTCGTTAGCTGTGGCGCCCAGTCCTATTCAGCGTTTTGTGTGGGCAGAATGATACATATGATAATTTTTGTCTACAAAAGACCAATCGATGTTGATGACCAAGAGATGTGGGCGTGCAGTGTGCTGCCTGTAACGGGGCTCTGAGTGCATCGACGACCTCGTTGGTCACTGTAGTTTCAGCCTATGTCTTTCTCCGCGTTCCGTTTTTACAGTACTGTAATGCGGTGAGGACGAGTGTAGTCTTACAGTAGATCTGCTTTAAGCATTCACTTAGCACTATTACTTAATGCCAGTCGTCAGGACAAACAATAGCTTCGCATATGCCGCTGAAGAAAATAAGTGAAAAGGAACTGTATTTTATGCTATTCAGACAATTCAGCCAGCTCGTCTGCAGGTATGTTGGTTTTATTGTAAAAAAATAAGTGTTCTGGTAGGTATGACTCTCTTTTGTATGAGTTACTAAAATGTCATATAAACAAAAATAAATTGTCAGTATTATTTGCACTTAATATATGTTATAATGCGATTTTATGTGGCCCATTGTTGTTTTGCCTTTTCTATTTGTTTTATGTCATAGGCATTGATCTGATGTTGTTTGTTCTCCTTTTGCTCCGTTTAACCCTTTTAGCACCCCGTAGAAAATGATTTTGACTTGATAGAACAGGGAGTTGTAGTCTTTTATGTAGAATTTTCTGCAATTTAAAATTGCTTTCGTATCACAAAAAGACTACACCCCCCAAGAGGAAATTGAAACGGGTATTTGAAACTAAGAATTATGCGGATTTTTTTTTTCTGAGAGGTTAGGGGTTGGCTCGTAAAGAGCTCAGAGGGTAGTTTTCCTTACGAGGGTAGTTTGGGGCCTATGTGGATTGTAAACGGAATTATTCGAAAATATTTTAAAGTGGATTTATGGGAGAATTTTATAGTGTTTTAATAATAAAGCTTTCCTTTACCGTTTTATTTTCAAGACAAATGATAAAATGCAGCCACACATTCTCCTAATGTGTAAGTACTTTTGCCGTGTATTTATTTGTCTTGGGTTATTAAAATTATTTGACTTGGAATCCGAAAACACTTTATGGACTCTATAGTTATGTAAGCTTTTTTTTTAAATCAAAGCAGCACGTATCCATTAAATGTGGTATCATACATTAGTGTAAATCTGCGAATGTTAGATTCCCCCCTAACACTCTTATTAAAAAGTTAGCGATTACAATACCGGATAATGATGCATTTTAGTCACTGCGGCTATCCGAAATGATTAATTACTGCTTTTGCTATTTTCTTTGTTAGTGGGTTGAAAATGTTCACATGTTCTCTTCCCCACAAACTCGTAGATTCACACAAATTACAGATTGCAATCATTTATCCCGAGTCTAGGAAGACCACTGCCATGGGTTCACAGTAATTGAGTTTCTGAGTCTACATTGTATATAGTTAATTGATCTCACATTTCTATTCGGAATGCATTTGAAATGAACTTTTGGCTTTGAAAGTGTTCAAAGTGATTTGTAATTTTTAACCTTATACCGGTTTCTTAGTTTAAAAACTCACTTTGTTGAGATTTATTGCTTGAAATGACACCTATTGGATCATTGAGGAAGGCAAAACAGAACTCACTGTGGGAGTATTTGATACGTTGTCATTCCCACCTCTCTCTTCAGTGTAAACATAACTGCTGTTGACTTGGATATACTGTAAGTGAAAGCTTAGATTCATGTACTGTATGCGGAAGGTGTTAATATGTTTGGGCCTGTGAAGACTGTGGACCTAATACGAGTCTTCAAGTGCCTCAGCAAAGTAAACCCAGCAGGTGTTCTTGGAATAAACGGTGAACCGTGAAGCTAGAGAGCACCAGTGGGAACGACATGGTCAAAATATTTATCTATATCCTGGTCAAAATATTTATAATACCCCTGTTGCGTTGTTGTCTGCATTATGCTTTGTTTATTTTGAAATAGTTTCTCTGTTGTAAAAAAAAGATTGTGTTAAGAGGAAAATGGTGATCACTTGCATTTGTAATATTTTGAGAAACGATTAAAAAACTGTTGTTTTTAGTGATGGTAAGTGTAGCGTTAGAAGTGAATTGACACTCGTTGTCGGAGAGGCCTACAATGGAATCGATAGTGCTAAAACTGAGAACACAAGTCACTTTTTTCACCATTATGGAACAAGCTTCCCAGTCACGTTGTCGAAGCTTGGTTTGATTCCTGAATCACTTGACTACAACAAAATGGGTTAGATGGGCTGAATGGTCTCCGCTTATTTATAACCGTTCTTATGTTTTTATTGCCCATGATCAATTATTTAACACTCTACACTGTTATGTGCGCAGTATTCTCTTGTAGGTCTGTTTTGACTCGATCTGACAGATTTCCCTTTTCTCCTCAGCCGCTCCATGTTTGCGCATCACCTGAAACTCCCAGGCAGGAGCCATTTCTTCCACTTGAGGGCCTTCCGAAGCAGCTGGGAGGGCCCTGCCTTGTGGAACAGCTCATGCTTAAGTGGTTTACCCCCCTGGCCTCAGCAGTTCCACCCCAGCAGGTATCTCTCTGTGAATTTCAGGCCTCCGTACCATTTCCACCACAGCAGGTGGAGGACAGCTTGGCCAAATTCCTCTTTTACTAGATTTCGCCAGGCGCCGGCTATCTATCTCTCCTGTGGGCACATGGACCGTTGTGACAACGGGCCTCCTTTCAAAAGGAGGAAAAGCAACGATGAGACCCGTCAGCATGGAGCCAGAGGGTCTCCCTCTCTCCGCTCTGTCAGGCCACCTGGGAGCCCGAATGATTCATCCCAGAACAGCCCCGCTGAATCTGAAACTCCATGCGTCAGTCAAACGTGTCCTCACCAAGCAAAGCGGGGAGCAGGTAGGACTGCAGTAAAGAGGCTGTACATTTATTCAGTCGCCAAATATTTTCATCTGTAAGACTAAAAAAATTTAAAAAAAGGCAAAACAGTCTTTGTCATGTAGATGTTGTGGACAAATAAAACACAACCAGTTTCTTTCCTAGAAGTATCTTTCTGACTGTTTCATGTGTATTGCAGTAATAAGATGATTTGGATGATTTTGTGTTGAAAACAAACAAATGGAGCAGAAGGGTTAAACAAAATTTTGGTTTGTTAAACAGCACCCGGCATTGAAACCGATGAAGTCTTTTACTGTTTGATGCCTTATTGTCTTTTACACACCTCTGTAATCTAATAAGATGCCTGAAACCTGATGAACAAATGAGACCTTTTACAGCACAGAGGCTTATTCATTCCTCTAGTACAAATGGCTTACATTGTACTTGAGCCTTGACAGAAAGGAAACTTTTATGCAAAAATCTTTTTTTTGTAATGCTTCAATTTTCTGTTTATTCTGCAAATTCTTAAAGCTGTCTTTTATTTCATGCTTTGGGTGTTCTGCAGAAATACAAAGAAGGTGGGAAGATTTTTCACAACATTACCAGCAGAATGAAGGAGCCAACATTTTCACTGCGGATGGGAAAGAAACAAAGTCATTTGACTTCTCTGTGATGTCGTACAACATCCTTTCCCAGGACCTACTGGAGGACAATTCACACCTCTACAGACACTGCAGCCAGCCAATACTGAACTGGAATCACAGGTTTCCCAACATCCTGAAGGAGTTCAAGCAGCATAATCCAGATGTGAGTAAAAAAAAACTGAAGACGAGAGGGTGGTTTATGTCTTTCTTATTGCCATGCTTCCGTTTGATCATTATCTTAAGTTGAAACTTACAAAACAAGCATTACATCACTAAAATAGATTTGTATTACTTGTAGCAGGATGTAAAGGAATCCGTTTTAAGAAATGTTTTTAGCACAGCTTGTATGAAGATTGTGTTAGTGTTGTTGAACTCAGAATGATAAAAGATCTGTCTGACTCCGTACACAGGCATTTCAACTATCTGTTGTTGAATGTTATGCTCTGAAAACTGCGCTCAAAATGCTTAAAGTTGTAATGCACATTTAAGCTAGGTCTCTGTTTAATGAAACATATGTCTGTTCAGTAATATGTCTTAGCACCTGCTGCAGAAATATTTTTCTGAAATTAAATGAAATACTTGAATACAGTAGACAGTGTACCAAACAATGGGCTAACGCCTTGATAGAGCTAAAGAAGAGAGTTTTACCAGCAACAAGATTTCAAATTGCGTAATGTGAATGAACGTAAAATATTTTCCTTTTATTTCTTTGTCACTGAACAAAAATACTGTATAGAGTGCCTTGCAAAAGTATTCAGACCCTTGACCAATTCTCTCATTTTACTGAATTACAAATCCTACATTGAAATGTAGTTCTCTGTGATATTTTTATTTCAAAGCTGTGGAAAAAAAAATAAATAATTTGACATTGTCTTATGTTAGGAAATATTCTTAAGAAAAATAAAAAAAACTAAAATATTATAGATATCTGCCAGCACAATGCTTTTTTTCCATGCAGAGACACTTGTAACTCAGGTCTGTAACTTTGTGAGCTGAGACATTGTGAGAGTGGCCCTCAGTGAAATGCAGGCCCAGCAGTATGCCCTACCTGTTCCTTTCTTTTAAACTTTGTGGAGGTGTTTGACGGACAGCAAAAGTAGTCACAGGGTGTTCTCTGATGCTCTTGCAGTGCTCATGCATGTACGGTAAACGGTTAACTGGAGGGAAGTTAGACATCTATGCCCTTCAAGTACATAGCCTCTAGCCTTTCGAAGGTGTGCAGGCTTTTGAATTGTAGAGTGTTACGCAATTGGAACTGTAACAAATCCACTAAATCTGTTCCATTTGCAAAGTAAATTGCTTATCATCCCAGGCTTTCAAAAAGAAAAGTAACGATTAACCCCACAAGACCACCTACTGTAGCCCAACCTGAGTTTTCCTAATGACTGTATTGTCTCTTACACTGTTTCATTCCCCTGTCACCTGTGAGCATCAGTTATCAGACAGATCCTTTTACATCATAACATGACTGTATAATGCAGATGTGTATTTGTGTTCAAATTTACTATACAGCTGTGTAAACCTTTTTCTCCTTAGATATTGTGTCTACAAGAAGTGCAAGAGGACCACTACAAAAAACAGATCAAACCCAGTCTAGAGTCCTTAGGTACCGCAGAGAGATTTTGTTTTATTTTTTTCCACATGTATCTTATTTCTTTAATAAAATAACCACTGAATAGAACTAAATAATTTGGGATGTTGAAAATCTCAGTTATAGATTATACAAGTGCATTGCTACATTGATGTCATTAAAACACACATGTCATATATAACACATCGCCAATTTTCCTATAAAACCAATCCATCTATAAAATGTATTTTCACCAGAAAATATGGCAGCAGCCTGTAGGGCAATTGAAATACACAGAAGAATGTGCATCACACGTTAAGATTGTCAACTTGAAACCTCATATCTTATGAGAATGGTATTACTACAGATATTAATGTATAAAATTGCAGCTGTGTATTTCAAGTATGTCTAGTCTACAGACAACTGCTAATTATCATGAGCAATTACTGTTTCCACCAAAGGATCTTTGAGTGGTGCTGTTTTTAAAATTGCATAGGTTTAATCACTAGAGGGAGCTCTAGCTTCTTTCCAAAAACTATGATCCCTGTACTACTTGTGCTATTGCCATCCCCACCACTTCCTTTTTTATATCACTGTGTCGGATAAAACCAGACAGTCAGGTTAAAAAGCTGTACATTGCCCTGTTTTATTTTTAGAATTACACTACTTACATTTTGTCCTCCCTATAATCACAATAACTCTTCAGGGAATACAATTAGACATGACTGTTTTCCTTTTAGAACAGCCAATAAAGCAGCACACTTCCAATGTCATTTTTGAAGAGATTCAACCATGTAGTTTCTAACTATGTATGCTCTGAATGAATGCGTAGTATATGCTGTGTATGTTCCCTGCTTATTGTAAACATAGCACACTTGAGTCTAAGATCTGAATCTGACTTGTTTTTTTCCTTCACAAAAAATGTTGCTGTATGAAAAATAGATTTAAGTGCCATATAAAATCAATTGAATAAAGTACATCAGTTTGTAGATAGAACATTAACAACACCCATAAAATATTATGACGTATAATAAATATAAACCATTTGAATTGTTAGTTCTCTTCCTAAAGTACTGTCAGAAAGATGAATTTGTTAATGCGGTGTGAATTAAGACATTTGTATGACTGAGAAGAACAAGATCACATCCTTCAATTCCACTGTTTGCACCCCACACAGGTTACCATTGTGAGTACAAGATGCGGACAGGGAGGAAGCCAGACGGCTGTGTGATTGGCTTCAAGCAGTCCAAATTCTCGCTGGTGTCGTGCCATCCGGTAGAGTTTTACCGCCATGGTATTCCCCTGCTGGACCGGGATAACGTGGGGCTGGTGCTGCTCCTCAGGCCCGCTGCCCCCGGATGCTCGGCCCCCTGCCTCTGTGTGGCCAACACTCACCTGCTCTACAACCCCAGGAGAGGGGACATCAAGCTCACCCAGCTGGCCATGCTGCTGGCCGAGATTAGCAAGGTGTCCGACCAGGAGGATGGAAGCTACTGCCCCATCATCTTCTGTGGGGACTTCAACTCCGTCCCTGGCTCTCCGCTCTACAGCTTCATTAGGGAAGGCAAGCTGGAATATGAGGGGCTTCCCATCGGCAAGGTGAGGAGGTTTTCTTTTTGGCAACTATGCAGCTATATACTGTGTATATACAGGGTGACGGCAAGTATAAGGTGACCAAAGGCTCATAGGGCTTTTTCTGGGTAATGATTTCCAGCCTTAAGTAAAGTGCCTGATGTAAAATACATCCAGGTGGTTTTGAGCTTTGAGGTTTGTACCTCATCCTAACATTTACGAAGTGAGATTTGTTCCAGACGATTTGAAATAAAGAAGGAAATTGCTCTTTTTTTGTTATTTGTTATTTTATTATTTTTATTTGTTATTTTGTTATTTTTGTTATTTGTACACTTTGAACTTAATGGATCCCCTCCCCGATGTTACAGTTTTCTTCTTTGTTCCAGATCTCAGGACAGGAGCAGAATCCCAGAGGCCAGAGAATCCTCTCTGTTCCAATCTGGCCTAAAAGTCTGGGAATCTCTAACTACTGTCAGTATGAAATGTCACCTGAGGCAAAACCAGGTACCTACTAACATTAGAAGGTGGAACAGTGGGTCAGTATGTTGTGGAAACTAACACCAGGGACATAATTAAAGGATCTATTTTTATAATGACTCCCTTTTGGATTTAAGTATCTAGATGCTGGAAATAATATATATGTTGAGGACTATAAAGGACTTTAAAATTGTTTTAACATTTAAGTGAAAACATTAACATCTCACATGGTGCTTTTTTAACATTTGCATTTAAGTATTTTTGTTTTTCACAGTTCTTGATGAAGGAGGGATTTCAGGACTGTGTGTGAGAGAAGAGGAAAATTTCACACCAGAGAAAAAGTAGGTTTTCATTGTATTAAAATATAAAAAGCCAATAATACTTTTTAGTACATAGCAGGATTTTAATAAAGCTAGTCAGTCAAGGTGGGGAAGATCTTACTTCTAGGACAGTGTTTCACATTGTCCAGTTCTGTAAATTTCACAGCTGATGGCAGTTCGGAAGTACTGTTGAGTAGTATACGTTTATGTGGTCAGAATAAAATGTCAGAGCTATCAGGAAAGCCAGAAGGCACATTTGTCTTGAAATAAAATGGTAAAGAGTCTTCCTGGCAGCAGAGCAGCGCACCATGTGATAAGCATTGCATTCTGTCTTCACAGGTTGCAGTCGAGCATAGAACATAAGTTCAGGCTGACCTCAGTCTATTCTCATTTCCTGACCAAAGGCGGGACACCAGAGATCACAACTTGTCACTCTAGGACAGCCCTCACTGTGGACTACGTTTTCTACTCTGCAGCAAAGAACGATATCTCTGTGCAACCAGGTAAAAAACACAAACCCATACACGCCTGGACATCTCAGGGATAGGCTTTGGTAAACTTCAAGTTAGTGCAGCTTGCAGATATTGTGTCTTGGTGTATATAAGACTATTGTTAATTATAGAAAAAAAGAAGGCACCAATGGGTGTTTTTTAAAATTTTATTTTTCTCAACTTTAACACCCACCTCCCCTTCTCTGTCAGTTTGACATTGATTGCTCCAGTGTTTGTAGGCTCAGGAGATGTAGTGAGACTTTCTGTCCTGGTCGAGTTGCTCCTTAGCTTGTAAAAACCTGAAGTGCAATCACTGGAACCTTCATTTTACCCTGATTCTGTTATTTTGGAGAAGTGTGTTCATGACATTGCAAATGAAAGATGAAGCTACTGTTGAGATTATTTTTAACTTCTGAAAGGACTTTGCATGAAATGCCATTCACAAACAAACATGGTGTATAGGATGTACAGTATCACTAGAATGCACTGTGATTGCTTGTTCTCTAATCAGCAGAATTTTCATTATGTTTCTCTTTGGTTCAGTTTAACATTGATTTTTCAGTTTTCATTACTATTCAGCAAAATCAGGTATTTTTATTATAATAAACCTCGAACATTCTTTTTGTTAATATACTGCAACTGAATTGATAAGGACAATAATAACTGAACGTTCAATGTTGTTAGAAATTAAAGCACTGCAGCTAAACAAAATAATACTTTTGCACGGATTACAAGTCAAATTTTGGATGATGAGGTCAGGTTCAAGCACAAGATCTGACTGGCAGTTGTCTGACTGGCAATCCACAGAGAGCGGTATTTATAGACGGGCGCAGACTTTCCTTCAATTTGGAAAAAGTGTCATTTTCTTTCACAATCACCAACACATTTTGCCTTAAGCCCCCCGTCGCCCTCCTTTCCGTGCCTTTGAGTTGTTTTAGTTGCATCACCGGTACATTCTGTTGGAAAAAAGTTGGTCAGTGGTCTTGATGACTGTTTTGAAAGCCAGTGGCTTCAGTGTGCATGAAATGGTTGATCGTATCAAAATATACCAACTACAAGAAATTGTATTGGTGTAAAGACTAAGAGCAGTTTTTTTTTACTTAACTCTTAAGTGGTGTTTTTTTAGATTATGTCCAGTTAAAACTAAAAACTTAAATCCCTAACTGTATGTACAGCAGTGTCCTATTCTTGATAAGGTGCTATTGTTGACCATTAGGTTTTATCTAAATGACAGCCAAACCCAAGCGCTGTACTTGTAATGTTCACAAAGCTAATTCCGAACATTGGTTGCCGAATTATTCACTCTTTCCAAGTGTAAAAGCTCTTAGTCTTTGGTAGCTGGCAAAGGAGTGTTTAAAGGTGAGCAGATGAGTCATGTGTCAGAATTGCACTTTATGGCCCTAGTGGTCCTAACTGGTGGAACAGAAGGCCGTGCGCCATCTGGATTAATTCGGATCTCTCCTTTGCTACAGGAAGCGGCCCCATTCCTGACGGCAGGCTGCAGCTGCTTGCGAGGCTCTGTCTCCTGTGCGAGAAGGACTTGTGGACTATAAACGGGCTGCCTAATGAGCACAACTCTTCTGACCACCTGCCTCTGCTGGCCAGGTTCCGCCTGCGGTGCTGACAGCGCCTCTCACTGTAACTCTGCACACATTGCATTCGCGCAGATTCCAATACCCACGGTAGATACTATGAGGAAAAAAAAAAGGGATCTTGATCATTTTTGTGTTCCTTCTTCCTTTATACTGTGTATAAAGATAATTTTTAGACATATTTATTGAAAATCTGCATTACATAGTTTAGCTGAGGTGAAAGAGTTGATGAGGTTTACATTTTTTAAATTGTGTTCGGTTGTTTGTTGGGTGTAAAGCTTTTATTCATCGGTCCGCTTTACACTGAATCTGTAACAGTTTTTAAATGCATGCCATTTCTGGTTATATTGATTTTTGCTGAATGTTAAAATGTGAAGAATAATGTTCAACAAACTGCTTTTCAAATTGTTAAAGCAAATTATTTTTATTCTGTTATATACAGTTGCCTCCAAGTGTATTAATGTTCTTGATAAACGTGCACATCAAGAAACTACAACATTTCTGAAACGATTTTATAAAAATGCATAAATTGATAAATATATCAGTTTTAAATACATTATCTACCTAAACCATGCGTTATATACAAGTTGAAAATAAAGGCTGTAAATTTAGTTCTTTAATGTTTTTTTAGTCTTAATAGGTTCTCGAAGCCACAAGGATTTTAAAGAACCTTCTGAGTCACTTGGATCACAAACGGCAATTAAAAGCAGGCACACAAAGTCAGTAACACTTAATCATGAGAAAGTCAGGGAATTATCCACAGATCTCTAAGATTGATGAAATTGAACAGCTCCAGTGACAACAATTAAAAAGCATATAAGTCATCCTGTTTTCAACTGTAGTATCCAATGTCCAGAAATTCAAGCAGGGACCACCCCATCATACAGGGGCTGGAAAAACCATTTGACTCAAATGATTATTATTATGTGCAGTTAGAGAAAATTCTGGAAAGATGGTCTAACTCGCACTCATGGGTAATGTGTGAATCTTCATCTTCTGGCATCATTTTGACCTCAATCTTCTTTCATCGTTCTGGCATCATCAGGATCTAAGGTCTGCAAAACCACCATGTGAGGCTGACCTGGTCATTTGATGACTGGCAGTTCCACATCAAATTTCTGCAGTGAATTAGCCAAATTGCAATGAGTTCCCCTTGATGTAGTTGGGTATAATCCCAGCATTGGACATGACCATGTAAAGGTAAAGCTCATCCCTGCAAGAAAAAAAAAACATTTGGTCTCAGGTCCCGTTTTAAACTGGGGAAAAAATAGACACAAAAAAAGCTTTTTGTCTGAAAGCTCTAGCATGGTCACAAATGAGAATTGTAAGACATTGAAAAGCCTGCATCAAGCTCAGTGGTAAAGGGAGCACAAAAAATCAATTATCTTGATTGGTCAGCCTTTAGTAGAATATGGTGAGAATGTAACAAAAGATCAATCACAAACACAACCTGAAGATGTTGGACAGAGGTGACAAAGGAGAGAAGTCAGATATCACTTGCAAGATGTGTAAGAACATCATGAATGCCACAGGCGAAAGCTTCTCACAAAGTGAAAGGGGAGAGTTAGTTAAATATAGATTGCTGGAGTATGAATGAATGCGAGTGCCTTACATTAAGAAACCACTTCGAGTGTACATTCTTCTTATAAACACAATATTAACTTAATTTATCTGTATCAAAACATTTCATCCTAAATCCATTTTTAGATGCAATTTATCAAGGATATGTTAGATCTGGAGGCTACTGCATATGATCACAGCAGATTAAAACCAAACAACTTGGAAAACTCTTATTTTGTATTAATGACACTAAAACATATACAAAATCTTAGTGCCCTTTCTTTTATACTAGCTTATGGGCATAATGTTTCCATTTCAATGTTTTTTAAAATAATTTTGTCTCTTAAGAATCCTTCAAACCATTAATATGTTCATGGGAAAATATTTTTGTCTCCACACAAATATTACAAGCAAAGGCAAGAAGGTGGGACTTTTTTTTTAAAATATATTTCATGTCTTATTACAGTGTGATGCAACATTATAGAAATATAAATTAAATGGATAATGCACACCACATTGGACAAAAAAGAAGAACTTTAGTGTACCTGTTTTTTTTGTGTGGAAATACCCTCTCAAAGTAATGCATGGATAGCCTGCTATTATATATACAATAAAAATATAAGTACATTCTATGGGCAACACTTTGAAAGAAATAATGCATTTCTGCTTTCCAGACTTGGACAACTTTTATCTCCACCACTTACAGTACATATTTTGTTGTTATACTGTAGTATTAAGGAAAAATTGTCATGAGATATTTTAGTCAATTTACCAGAAGCTACAAAAGTAATGTCCACTTTAGTCTGGTGTTGACAGACTAAAGCATTTGATACTTCTTGATACTTCTTGAGATTCACCTTCTTTACAAATGATGAGGTGGAGTTATTTCTTGTTTTGTTGAACAGGACATGTCTTAATTATTTCATGCAAATTTAGCTATTGACCTGATTAATGTCTGTATACATGAAGATGGGCATCTGGATATTTTGCTTGTTCTTTCATGTTGTGTAATTGTACTACATAAATGCTAGAAATGGAATATGAAGTATTTCACTCAGTGGAACGTCTGTTTTTCCTGCAGCACTTCTTCCTAGCTTTGACTACAACCCACATGACTGTGGACAGCCCTGTGAGATATCCTTAGTGTTTTACCAGGGTTATATTATATCTGCAAACCCTCTTAAAGGAATTGTGTTGGTTTTGCTGCCTGTATTTGAGATTTTAGTTTAAGTGAAACACTATATCTAATTTTGGTTGAAGTGCCGATTCTCTGAAAAAGACAAATTTTAGCAGTCTATAACACATGTTTTTTTTTTGTCTTTACTACTTTATTCAAAATTTTTAACATTAAAACTTTCAGTATGATGGATATATAAAACTTGAGACAGATATAAAACATTGGGTTTAAAATAAGATTTTTGCTCGTAGCAGATATTTTCCTGTTCATTTACAGTTACAGAATGAATTTCTTCAGTCATGACTGCTTCTGTAAATGTGAAGCATTGGGTTACCACATACAGTAAGTCAATGAACATACTGTCCATTAACAGTGTGTTATAGTACAGTTTCTGTGGAGTCTCCCCTTAGCAAGTATTTCTTTCTCATATGCGATGCTATTTTTAGGACTATTTGTAGCACAGTATTTTAAAAAGGACTACTGGGGGTCCCAGATTACACCAGTGTAAAATCTTTAGCGTGCAGAACGATATTAAACTAACATGCTAACAAGGGAACTGGAAATGCAAGATCTGCTACTCTTCTGGGGTAATGTCTGAAATTAGTTTGACAGCTGCCTGTTACAGAAATGCTTTGCTTTTACGGTCCTGCTATAGATTTATTTGTCAAATTATTTTAAAAAGTCAGTTCAGATAACTTTGATTACGTTTATGTAGTATTGAGATTGAATATTGAAAAAACATTCAATTTGAAGGCATTCAGTATGTTACACATATATAGTATATGTACATCTGAAAACTTTGTCCAACATATCCTCTTAATCATAGAGTAAATATTTTACCCAGGGCTTTTTTAAAGTATTTGTTTATAAAATGATTCCCTATCTGCAATACATATGCAAAGCAAAATATGCCCATGGCTGTATGTGGGCATCTTACATTTTTAAACAACACTGTCATTACACTTTACAGCTATACTGTTGCTGACATGCACCCACCTGTACAGAATTATTTTTGCAATGAATCAATATCAATGGGCAACTGATTTTCTTTCCAACAGTGAACTTAATTACAAAATTGAATTAATTACAGTAATAAAAAAATAATTAGCCTTTGATAGCTCTTCCTCACCTGATAATTAAAAGCTCCTACTGTATAAAACACAAGGCCTTGGGGATTTGAGCAGTCTGTACTTGCCAAAACGCAAAACGAGAAGACCCCTCATACATCTTTGAGACAGGAGAAATGTTTCTTTCAAATAGATGCAAGTATTTGCTTGTAACTTATGTTTCTGAACTTCGCTTTACGATGTTGTTTTTGGTTTCTCGTAAATAATTCCACCTATAGCCAGCAACACCCTGTTTAGTTCTCAGTGCAGGTGAGTGCAGGGCCAATTCTGCTGCTTTATGGAGTCTTCAAACTCCCTTGGGATTCCCTATAAGAATGAAGACAGGAGCAAGAACTGTTGTTAACAGTACTCCTAAATTTCCCATTTTTTAAACCTACTCTTGATAAGTCCTTCAAAGGTCATCAGTATAAACAATTTCGTTATTATCCACAGAGCCTCAGGATAGCCTGACAAGGTAGCCTGGTTGATATTTTCCTTTTGCGCTCCAAATAAGATAAGATATGGATCATGTGTTAATTAGAGCTGTCTGATTAAGACACTTGGACACTCTGGTAGGAAAAACTGCAAGATAATAGCACATAATGTAGGAACTGATGAAGAGCACAACTTTGCAGTCTGAAGTGACTTTAAATCGGCAAATTCTGCTTTGGTCTGTTATTTAAGAGCTTTAAAGGCTTCTCTGAGATTACAGCTCTTATCCTGTCAGTCACATTGAGAGCTTGAAAAAAAAAAGCCTATTGTATTGCCAAGTTGGAAGTCTGTCAAGGGCATTGCAATTAACTTAACTGCAATAGACAAATCACTTTTTAAAGTGGACAGTTGCCTTTTTACATCAGTTGTTCCCATACCCTCATTTTACACTACAATACTGATGATCATTTCATTTACTTACATGCTCTTTTTTATATTTTTCCCCTCATACAGTAAGGTAAACCAGGTTTTTGTCTTATAATATCTCAGCTAGCATAGAGGCTATGCAATGAGTTTAGTAAGTTTGATCATTTAAATAATAGTAATTCCAAATTAATACACCTTAGGATGTATAGATGGTTCTTTTTAGGTTTGTAAGACAAAGGATAAGAAATATGAGAAAGCCATCGGGCTCTTACAGTTCAAACTCTTCTTATAGCTAATGACACAACAATCACAGTTGTTGTACAGTACAGTACGATACCAGAAATGTCATATTGCATCCACCCGGGCAGTGTGGTAGATAGCGGTTACACTGGTGAATACACATAAAGTAGATGGACCCTATACTAAGGGACGTTACATTAGAAATACACTGGGTAGGGAGGGAGAAATTGGAAATTCCTCACAAACAGTGTTTTCTGCAGTACGTAGTGTATTTAACATAACAAAACAAAGGAAGAAACAATTAGGGTTGCAGGTTCATTATTCCAAAGGTTCAATTGTCTCATAATTTATCCATTTAATACTCCACGTTAGAAAACAAAATTCACAGTAGTCGCACTAGCTTGAAAGAAAAGGCGATTAGGTGTCTAAATCTGCACTTGCTTTACCCACACTAAGCCACTCACAGTTAAGTAGCTCAATACAGTTGGAAGCCACTGCAGCTGAACTCTGATAGAGTGCTCTTATCAGCATAGTGCAGTTTACACCTTTCTCCTGATTCCACTGGCGGAGCTCTCGTCTGTAAGTGTAACTACAGGAAATACTGTTTTTGCAGAACTTTTGAGCTAATTGAAAATTTGCCTAAAAAAGATACATTAGTGAAGAAGATACATTTCCGAGATGTTTTTTCAATGTTTGAGATTGTTTTACACTCATATTTCTTGTTTTGAGGAACATTTCCAACTCTGCTGAGTGAAGTGTTTTTTCAGAGGGTTTTGGTTGCTTGTATTGTATATTGCACTATTCAGTTGTTGTATTTCAAAACTGAATCAGGTGAAAAGGTAGTGTATAAGAAAACCTGTTCCACTGGGTTAACTCTTTTAATAATGCAATTTAACATGAAAATAAATCTATAGCTAGAGTCATCAAGTTGTACAACTACATTTATAGCCAGAGTCAATGGTTCGTGTAATCTATACCTTACACTGGCCTGAAATGCATGCTCATGTAAATTCCACTTTTATGGCATTTTTCAGATAATTGAAATTTTGCCTAACAAAATTTTAAAGAGATTTCCTCAATGGTTTTGATTGTTTTACAGTAATACCGTGTATCTTGGTTTGAAGATAGTTTTCAAATCTGATGATTACAGAGCTTCGAAGACACAGAACCAGGTACGGTTAGGGTTAGCATTCACATACTATTTAGACAATATTTAAGCTCAGCGCTGGAATTTTGGCCCCAAGTCAGCTCTAGGACAGGTGTTTTTTAATCCTATCTGAATTTTTTTTATCAGAAACTCTCTGGGGCCTGGATGTCGCATTGCACCATACGCTAATTGTAACCCAAAACTGACTCGTCAGATCAAAAGTTGTAACCAAGCATTATTGAGTCTTTCACTTGAAAGAGCTTTGATCAATGGTCTTGATTGTTTCCCACTAATACTTTTAGGCACGAGGAATATGTCAAATTCCGATGCCCACAGAAGCCCAGATAGAGATTGCGAAAATGCTCAGTTGACATCCCAGGTAGGGTTAGGGTTAACATTCACACACTACTTAGACAATTTTTATGCTAAGGCCTGGAATTTGGGGCCCAAATCAGTTTTAGGATGAGTGGTTGTTTGCTTCTATCTGAATTTTTTTTTTCCAGAAACTCTCTGGGGCCTGGATGTCGCAGTGCACCATGCGCTAATTGTAACCCAGAACTGACTCAGTTGGATCAAAAGTTGTAACCAAGAATTATTGAATGTCTTTTACTTGAAAGAGCTCTGATCAATGGTCTTAATTATTTCCCACTCATACATTTTGGTATGGGGAACATGTCAAATTCCGATGCTCGTGAGAAGTCCAGAGAGATTGCGGAAAGGCTCAGTGGACACCCCAGGTAGGGTTAGAATCAGCATTTACACACTACTTACAGACTTTTTATTTTCAGGGTTGGATTTTTGGCCCAAGTCAAGTTGAGGAAAAGTGGTTTCGTGATCCTAGCTGAACATTTTTTTTTCCAAAACTCTGGGGTGCCTGGATGT